GCACACGCACACGCACACGCACACGCACACGCGCACGCGCACGCGCACGCGCACGCGCACGCGCACGCGCACGCGCACGCCCACGCCCACGCCCACGCGCACGCGCACGCGCACGCACACGCACACGCACACGCACACGCACACGCACACGCACACGCACACGCACACGCACACGCACACGCAAACGCAAACGCACACGCACACGCACACGCACACGGACACGCACACGCAGACGCAGACGCAGACACACACGCACACGCACACGCACACGCACACGCACACGCACACGCACACGCACACGCACACACACACACACACACACCCACGCACACCCACACACACACACACACACACACACACACACACACACACACACACACACACACACACACACACACACACACACACACACACACACACACACACACACACACACACACACACACACACACACACACACACACACACACACACACACACACACACACACACACACACACACACACACACACACACACACACACACACACACACACACACACACACACACACACACACACACACACACACACACACACACACACACACACACACACACACACACACACACACACACACACACACACACACACACACACACACACACACACACACACACACACACACACTTGTGGTAATCCCCCCTCTTTGATTTATGCTTCGGCTCTCCTATGCGTGTGCTCGTGGCTTGTTGATCTAGTTACAGTCGAGGGTACAGGATCATAAGCCGCAATGGCTAAACGGGAAAATGGTGAGACATCGGAGTAATGAAACTGAATTAATCGGAGCAAGGTTTGTAGCAAAGGGGCTCTAAACGCAAACAGCGCCAAAAAGTTCAAATGGGACAGCAAGCTGCGTCAACTGCGCCCATGCCTGTCCGTGACAAGCAGGTACGTTTTCACCCCGGCTCAGGGGCGTCTTCGTTGGTCCCCTGAGCCGGGCTCTGGCCCCCTGCGTGTCATGCTTCGTCTGATTGGAAAAATTGCGCAGGCTAGCTAATCTACCCGTTTGCCCCAGATTGGGCATTGGTCTGGCGCGTGAAAAGCGCTAGTTCAAATGGTAAATGCGCCTGGCGCATTAAGCAGCCTGGTGCAGCCATTCCAGACCGCTGCGGCAAAAAACACGAGAGGCCCTTAGTGACAGGGTTGGACACACACAGCCAGCCCAACGGGCGACTCTGCACGTTAAAGCGCAATAACAGAAAAGCCTTTGATGACTAGGTACCAACACAGGCATCTGGCTCTTCGGGCAAGAGCTCGCGAGCTCAGGGAACCGGCGTGGGGATCAGGGGCGAGAGGTATAGCATCCCTCTTTGTTGGATGAAACTGCGGTGAACACCAAAGCCGCCAATTGTTCGGTGGGAGGGTTCCTTCAAAAGGTAGCCGGAAAAAACCAAAAAGAGAGAGAGGGACCGTGTTGTCGGTCCTCAAATATATGGGGCATATGCAACTCAGATCATGGTTCGCCGAGGCAAAGTACATCCGAAACCGCTGAAAAATCCGAGTGCTCGGCACGGAAGCGTTCAACACTGCAAAGGTCTTTGCGCTCCACGGAAACTCCGGCAGGGAATCCAATCACGCCCAGGAATTCCTTCCTCACCTAGTCCCCTGGCCATTGCGGCGTCCAAGGCCAGACCAAGCCCCAAGAAAACCAAGAAGCCCGAGAGGGACCCAACCACACCCAGGGATTCCTTCCTGTGCCCTGCCCCCCTGGCCATCGCGGCGTATGACCACGTGCAGCCGGAGGGGAGGCAGGCCAGGCTAAACCCAGAACCACCCCCACGAAACCCAACCACACTCCGAGATTGCGTGACGTCTCGCCAACCTGGGTGGCCTGAAGGCTCAAACGGTCTGGAATTTGCGACTTCTGAGATTAAAGGCACAGGAAACCAAAAGCTTGGATTCGAGCCGAAAGCAGAACAAAAAAGCAAACGTGGTAGTGCCCATGCTGTACAGCGAACATGGCACGATGGCACGTGGTCACAAAATTGACTACGATCAGAACATCACACCGACGTACAGGGCATTTTTTGCAACGCTGTCAAGATGCTTATCATGCGAACATGCCGGAACGGATTAAAAGGTCAGGTGCAATAGCTGATGCGACAAGGCCATGCCATGCAACACCCCGAATCACGAATCTGAATTATTCGCCGCTGGATATCAGCGACCAAGGATTAGTCAGGATTGTATGGCAACTGATGGGCGCAGTGGCTGGGGCAACCACTTGGTGCCCCAGTTGTCTGAGTGATCTTGCACTAGGAACACTCCGTCGATGGCAGCCAAATCGCTGCGCACGCACCATCGTTTGTCTTTGCTGCCACTACGCACTGCGGGGTAAGAATATGGCAAGAGCTTGTTCCTTCCAGGTATCCCCTCGGTTGAACTTGTAATGAGTGCCGGACACAGTCCCCGTTACTCCCACATTGGTGGTGTTTTTGGGGTGCTCCGAGCACGCAAGCAAAAAGTCAAGGATACTCCGCTCATGGTAGCACTCGGTCGAGACTCTACAGAAAAAACCTAATGGGCATTTCCTGCCGACCTGGGACTCACTTTCAGAGTCAAGCGCTAAGGTTTCAGCCGAAGTTGGCATGATGATGCCGGTGCGAAATATCCCGGCTAGGCCTAGCTGAGAAGAAAAATGAACAAACCGCATGGAATACTCGCCAGCTACACGGTCTTGATTGACTCCGGGAAAAGCTTGGGACGGGTACAGCCAAACAGCGGTGCCGGTAGTGGCTGTAGCTGCTACCGCACGCTGGTTAAAAATCTGGGTGTACGGCATTTCCGAAGCAATGATCGCGCTGGCCAAAACATGCACGGTTGAGATCGGAACACCATTGACCGGGTCCTCTGGTGCTACGGGCGCCAAAACTAAAAGGTGCCGAACGCATTGTTCCACACTTGACGGCGGGACACGGCTGAAAGGTGTCACATTAGCTTGAACCCAGGCCTTTCGGCGCTGGTGTTCCACGACGTCTTGAATCGTCAACGGGAACAGCCAGTGCGGGGCGAGCATGTTATCTGCCTGTCGTCGAAGAATGCGTTGAAGCCAGTCTTGGACTGTCTGATCAACGAACGTCTGGCCAGGCACAATGAGACCACTCGCGGTGAATTCCGACTCCCGATTTTCAACTGAGGTTCGAACAACGAGGTTTGCATCAGGTTTTGACCCTGCTGCCTCGGGATGTTTCGGAGTAGTGTCCTTCTCAAGGACCGGTGTACCAGGGCGGAATTCGTCAGAAGACCGGGCTT